ACAAAGAGTGAGCAGGTTGCTCAAGCCTTGGGAAAACCCGTGTTGAGGGTAGAAGACTGAGTTTACCTTTGTTCCTTAATCCTCAGGCTCTCCTCTTGGGTTGCTTAACTCTCTGTAGTGTCTCATCTGATCCTCTTATTCCTTCTCTGTCTGAAGGGTCTGCATGGACCATTTCTGTACCCTGTTTAGGCAACAGTAAGGCTTAAAACTCAACATTCAGAAAACTAAGATCATGGCATCCAGTCATGGCAAATAGATGGGAAAACAATGGGAACAGTAGGAGACTTTATTTTTTGGGGGCTCCAAAATCACTGCAGATGGTGACTGCAGCCATGAAATTAAAAGACGCTTGCTCCTTGGAAGAAAAGCTATGAACAATCTAGACAGCATATTAAAAAGCAGAGACATAACTTTGCCAACAAAGGCCTGTCTAGTCAAAACTATGGTTTTTCCAGTAGTCATGTATGGATGTGAGAGTTAGACCATAAAGAAAGCTGAGTGCCGAAGAATTGATACTTTTGAACTGTGGTGTTGGAGAAGACTCTTGAGAGTCCCTTAGATTGCAAGGAGATCCAACCAGTCAATCCTAAAGGAAATCAGTCCTGAATATTCCTTGGAAGGACTGATGCTGAAGGTGAAACTCCAATACTTTGGCCAGCTGATGCAAAGAAGTAACTCATTTTTGAAAAGACCCTTATGGTGGGCAAGATTGAAGGCAGGAGGAGAAGGGGACGACAGAGGATGAGAGGGTTGGATGGCATCACTGACTCAATGGACGTGAGTCTGAGCATGCTCCAGGAGCTGGTGATGGTCAGGGAAGCCTGGTGTGCTGCAATCCATGGGGTTGCAAAGAGCTGGACATGACTAAGTGACGGAACTGAACTGAGGGCAGGAGAGGGGGTGGGGTTGGGGAGAAGGGACTGCCCAGGGTCCTGATTATTCTACCCTCTTAGGTTCAGGGAACTAGAGGTCACAAAGGAAACTGCCCTCCAAAGCAGCTCCACCTGAGGGCTCACAGCCACAACCCTTTGCCAGCCACAGCCACAAACCATCATCAAAGACTGTCCTCTTAGCCCAACCAACATTTCTACAGCACCCGAGGTGCTTCAAACCATTTTTACTTCTGCCCTGGTTTTGACCCTCCTTGGATCTGCATGAAGCAGGCCCGTGAGGACACTGAGGATGCCCAGGATGGAGTGATGTGCTCAGCATCACAGGACAGATCAACAGCAGAGCTGGGGTTTGAACCTAGGTCTTCTGTCCCCAAATTCTGGGTGCCTGCACTTGACTTTGGTTGTGTTGGAGAAGCAGTGGGACAAGAGTGTGGGATTTGGGGTCCCAGAGCCCTGGTTTCGGATCCTCTGTACTCACTACCTGTTCTTCTCAAGCAAGCTTTCTCTTTCTTTCCTTTTTTCTTTTTTTTTCTTTCCTTTTTTCTTCCTTCCTTTCTTTCAACCATTCTGAGGCTCAGTTTCCACACTGGTAAAACCGAGATGATACTGGCCATCTCCCAGGACTGTTGTGAGGTGTCCATGAAATAACTATAAGCCTGGCACATGATAGGTGCTCCGTGAATTTTAGTTCCCTTTGCTCCCTTCTTAGCATCCCAGAGGTGAGCAGCTATGATGGGTAGGGGTAGTGGTCAGAGATGACAAGTGAGCAGCTTGGGCATCTGGAAGAAAGCTTGCAGAGAGGGCAGGTGCCAAATGTCATTCTTGAGGCCACTCCCAATTTATGGGTTCTGGTGCAAGGACTTTGAAGAGGCAATAAAATTCATATTCTACGAGGAAATGACAACAGCTGAGAGTCCTGACTTAGCAAATGAAATTCTACATTATTTTTTTATTTTTACAAGGCAAGGGATTTTGGATGGGTAGCAAAAGTCACATTCTAATGAGATTCTCCTGGGATAGGAATGGGCTTTCCCAAGTGTAAGATGGCAACACCCCACAGACAGTGTATATAAATGCCCCAGAGAGGCCACGAGAGCCAGAACCTGAGCTCCTCGCTAAGCTGCAACCTGCTCTGCTAGCATCATGGCCTCCCAGTTCTGCTCCCCGATCTTCTCCTCTGGGTCTCTCAGGGGCCACTGCGGCACAACCAGCGGCATCTCTCGGGTGTCCTGTGTCCGCTCCGTGGGCTCCTGCAGGGTGCCCAGCCTTGCTGGTGTTTCGGGGTCAGCCTCCTCTGTCAGGCTGGGCCTCTCCAGCCTTGGGAGCTGCTTGCCTGGTCCCTTCCTGTCCTCTGGGTTCCATTCCTCTGGCTTTGCCGGGGCTGGGGGCTTGTTCTGCGAGGGCGCCTTCAACGGCAATGAGAAGGAGACCATGCAGTTCCTGAACGATCGCCTGGCTAACTACCTGGAGAAGGTGCGGCAGCTGGAGCGGGAGAACGCAGAGCTGGAGAGCCGCATCCGGGAGTGGTACGAGTCTCAGATCCCGTACATCTGCCCCGACTACCAGTCCTACTTCAAGACCATTGAAGAGCTCCAGCAGAAGGTAACTGGGGCCTGGTCCCGCTCCAGCCCAGCCACCCAAACCCTGGGAGGGGTCTGTCTCGTCTCACTACAGATGAGGCTGTAGCTCTCAGAGGATTCTCTCTCCTATTAGGGCCAGCTTTTCTCTCTAGGGGTTTGGTTTCTTGGGGGACCCAGATCTCTCTCTGCTTGTAAACGCCCCTCCTTTCCAGCCAGTCTCAGCTATAGGAAGAGCAATCACACCCACCAAGCCCTTACTGGACACAAGCTCTGTGCTTAATGCCTTTCCTTCCTTTTGTTTGTGTATTCCTCATCTTGGAGAGATGGACATTATTGGTTCCATCTAACAGATGCAGAAGTTGAATTTTAGGGAGGTTCAGCCACTTTCTCAAGATCCCATAGCCTGTTGGTGTTGGATGTGGAATCTGAATTCAGGTTGGCCTGGTTCTCTCTGCTCACCTGAGTGTGACCCACTGTGCCTTTGGGGCTTCAGGTGTCAGGACTGATGGCCACTGTGATGTCCTTCCTGGGACTATTGTTGCTGGTCATTTGTTAAGTCGTGTCCAAATCTTTGCAACACCATGGACTATAGCACACCAGGATTCCCTGGCCTTCACTATCTCCTGGAGTTTGCTCAGACTCAGGTCCATTGAGTTGGTGATGCCATCCAACCATATCCAACCATCTCATCCTCTGTTGCCCCCTACTCCTCCTGCCCTCAATCTTTTCCAGCATCAGGGTCTTTTCTAATGACTTTCTGGGACTGACGCTCCCTCTATATCTAGGCTCAGAGCTCAGGGCTGGAAATGCCAAAGGTACTTAGAAGTATGGCCTCTGAAAGCTGGGCTGTCCCCTCCCACCTGCCCCCACACTGCTGGGCCTTCCCCAGCTCACAGGACGGCCCTGGTTCCCCAGATCCTGCTGACCAAGGCTGACAACGCCAGGCTGGTCCTGCAAATTGACAATGCCAAGCTGGCTGCTGATGACTTCCGGACCAAGTGAGTGGCCTGATCTCAGAAGGTAGTTCTGTGCTACTCCCTTGCCTCTGTCCTCCGCCTCTGGGAGCTGGGAAAGTGAGAGTGAGGCCAGATGCAGCTGTAAGTGGGGAGTGCGGCATCAGTCCTAGATCCTTTCCGGGTCAAGGGAGAGAACCACAGTGATGCTGACCCCAAATCAGCCACTGCAGCTGGACAACAAGGCGGCAGGCCCTGCCTGTGAGTGGCTGCCTTGCCGCAGACTCAGCAGGGCTCTGTGCGTGCAGGTACGAGACGGAGCTGGGCATGCGGCAGCTAGTGGAGGCCGACACCAATGGTCTGCGCCGGATCCTGGATGAGCTGACCCTGTGCAAGGCTGACCTGGAGATGCAGGTGGAGTCTCTGAAGGAGGAGCTGATGTGTCTCAAGAAGAACCACGAGGAGGTGAGGCTGGTCCCACATACCCTCCTGATGATTTCCACCCAGCAGGGAGCCACTGCTGACCCTTGGGTGTAACAACAGTGACAACCACCTCCATAGTAACCCCAGATGACCTTTACTGAAGGCCCACCGTGTGCCAAGAACTCTACAAAGCACTATGTATTTTATTCTTGTTTTATGTCATCCTCACAATAATCCCAGGAGGTATATACTATTACAAGCTTCATTTTACAGATGAGGAAACTGAGGCACAGAAAGGTTAAGTCACTTGTCTAAAGTCACATGGATCCGACACTCCTGGGCATGATACTAAATCTCCATTTGGAGGGTAGTGCCTGATAATGATTCTACTTACCTGGTGTTTGCATCATCTTCCAAATTCTCCGAGGAGGCAGGTCAGGGTGCCTGAGGAGGCTGAAGCCCAGAGAAGTTAAGCATCCTGTTTAATGTCACACAGCTGACAACTGAAGGGGGAGGGTTCTTACCCAGGTCAGTCAAACTCGCATCCAACATCCTTGTCACAGCCTGATGCCCTCCTGCCCACTCTCTGCAGGAAGTCAGCACGCTCCGATGCCAGCTTGGGGACCGGCTGAATGTGGAGGTGGATGCTGCTCCCCCAGTGGACCTCAACAAGATCCTGGACGAGATGAGATGCCAGTATGAGACCCTAGTGGAGAATAACCGCAGAGATGTGGAGGCCTGGTTCAACACCCAGGTGGGGCTGGGCCAGCCCTGGGGAAGCTTGCGGGGTGGGGACACCCTTGACAGTGGCTTCACTTGCTCTGACCATTCTCTGGGTCCTCTTACACTTTTCAGACCGAGGAGCTGAATCAGCAGGTGGTGTCCAGTTCGGAGCAGCTGCAGTGCTGCCAGACAGAGATCATCGAGCTGAGACGCAGTGTCAACGCCCTGGAGATTGAGCTGCAGGCTCAGCATAGCATGGTGAGTGGCCCCCGCCTGAGGGGCTGGCCATGCTCGTGGCAGGTGCCCCGATCCCTGCCTCGGTTATCATGGGTGGTGATCACTAGTGGTACGGAGATACCCAGGACTGTGGGTCTCTGGTGGGGGGCGGAGTTCCCTCCCATTGGCAGTGCTTCTCTTTCCCTTTGCAGCGGAATTCCCTAGAATCCACCCTGGCAGAGACTGAGGGCCGCTACAGCTCCCAGCTGGCCCAGATGCAGGGCCTGATCGGCAATGTGGAGGCTCAGCTGGCCGAGATCCGCTGTGACCTGGAGCGGCAGAACCAGGAGTACCAGGTGCTGCTGGATGTCAAGGCCCGGCTGGAGTCAGAGATCGCCACCTACCGCCGCCTGCTCGAGGGAGAAGACTGCAAGTGAGTGACCGTGGGTCCTGGGGGTCCAGGCTTGGGGAAAAGGCTCACCTGGACCCAACGCTTAGTACCACGGTGAGGGTTATTGTGCAGATGAAGGGGAGGCTTGATCATAGCCTCTGGAGTGACATTCCTTCTAGCTCTGGGCTTTAAGCATTTGCAGGTGGACAAGCTGGCCCCACTCACCATACTTCTCCATCCATTGTTTTTGGCTGGGAGTTTCTGATCTTTGTCTATGCAGCCCTCAAGGATTCCAGATAGGCACCGTCTGAGCCATTTGTCGTGGCCTCCCACCCATCTCACTTGACCCTCATGTATGTTTGACATGCTGGTCAGTTCAATGGCCAATGCCAAACACGCCCTGACGTGATCTCATTTCCTCAGGCTGCCTGCCCATCCTTGTGCCACGGAATGCAAGCCTGCTGGCAGAGTTCCTTACGTCTCGAGTGGGCCCTGTGCCCCGGGCCCCCAGCTCAGCACCCAGATCCGCACCATCACGGAGGAGTTCAGAGATGGGAAGATCATTTCTTCCAGGGAGCATGTGCAGCCGCTGTAACTGGGCAGGCCCTGGCCCACAGGAGGGAGGACACCCCTGTGGGTCCAGGCTCTAAATGACCCCCACCTCTCCTTCCCTAGAGGGACTCCCCGCTCAGCAGATTTTTCTACCAAAAAACTTCCTAGATTGTGTTTCTGGCTTTGACTGCTTTTACGCCGGGTAAAACTAAGCTTCCCTGGAAATTTACCCAATAAAGTGTGTTCTCTTGGCATAGAAATCTCGCCTCTGTCTATTCTCTGTGGTTAGCTAGTGGGGTGTTTGAGGCTTGTTGCGAACGTGTGGATTTTGGTTTTGGGTCTCTCTCTTCTGGCTCTGAGTGGTAGGAAGTGACAGGGTGATTCAATATATTTCATAACAGGGATACCTGGGGGCTTGGTCCCCAAGAACAGACAATTACCCAATCCAAATGGCTGCTGGCTGTAACCTACAGGCTTGGCCCTGCCCATGGGGACCACTCAGGGTGACCCCAGAAGAGGCCAAGGACCCCAGCTGTCCTCCTCACTAGCCCTGCCCTTCAGTTTATCCTCCCTTGTCCAGCCCCTGCTGTCACCTTGCTGGCCACCTCCAGGCCTGACACTGGGGGACAGTCTAGGAGAGGGGGTGCCACCTAGAGAGGCAAACTTCAAGCAGACAGCCTGGGTCAGCCAGTGACAGAGGGAAGTCGGGTGAACTGGGAGATGCAGGTGAGAGGGCCGGGAGAATCTAAGTCCCTAAAACTGGATACAGGGCTGAAGTGGAGTGAGGAGGGTGGGGGCAGTCAGATACGGAGCAGGGGAGAGGACAGCCAGACTTCACTGTGGAGCAGAGTTCAAAGTGCCCTGGATCCCACTGGCTGAACCATGCTCATATGGGCATCAGGTCTAATAGTGCCAGGCTCTGGATGCCCCTCTGATTAGAGGAGCACAACCTGGAGCAATCTGAGAGCCCCACGCCTCCTCTGTCCCTGTGACTCATTCTTCAGTTGAGAATATAAGCCCAGAGGAAGCAGTGACTTGCCCCAGGCCACACAGCAGTGAGTGGCAGGGACCAGGCCATCGCTTGGCTATTCTGACCCTAATCAGGTGCTCCTCCCAGCCCACCGGTTCTCTGTCTCTGTCTCCTCCCTTCCTCATCCTCCACCGGACCCCCTTTCCTCTCTTCTTTACCTCTGGGCTCTTACTTGAGCCCGAGATCCAAGGGAAAGAACTAGTCCTGCTCTATGTCACCAGGTGTGCTTAGCCGCTCAGTCGTGTCCAACTCTTTGTGGCCCCATGGACTATAGCCCACCAATCTCCTCTGTCCATGGGGATTCTCCAGGTAAGAATACTGGAGTGGGTTGCCATGTGCTCCTCCAGGGGATCTTCGCAGCCCAGGATCAAACCCAGGTTTCCCTCGCAGGCAGATTCTTTACCGTCTGAGCCACCAGGGGAGCCCATGTCACCAGGTATTAGTTGCTAAACATCCATCTTTGACCTGCTGGACAAGCCACAGGGGCTTCAGATACCTCCTGGACCGTGGGTGAAGAAGATGCTCTCAGGTGAACTGGAGAAGCGGGCGCCCTAGCCGTGTCACGTGACCTCCCTGGTCCTGCATCTTTGAGAAGGAGCTGTGGGAGACTCCATCGTGTGCACAGCATCTGGGAAGTGGTAGTTCCACGTGCTGGTGTTAAATGAAGAGTCCCCAGGCTGAGAGTGGGGGCTGGGAAACCCTACGGTGTGGGCTCAGGCTCTGTGCTCGGTTACACGGCGGGACACCGGTGGGGCCAACACCGCTGGCCAGCAGCACCCTCAAAGCTGGACAGTGAATCCAATGGGCTCAGCTTCAGACCCCCACTCTGCCCAGGACTCAGGTGATGAGAGGAGGGTAGCTGGGATGCTCAGAGAGTGCACCACACCCTTGTATGCTGCTCCATAGAAACAGCCAGGAGTCAGGAGTGGGTTGTGAGCTGCTCCGTAGAAATAGCCAGGAGTCGGGAGTGGGTTGTGTGCTGCTCCATAGAGATAGCCAGGAGTCGGGAGTGGGTTGTGTGCTGCTCCATAGAGATAGCCAGGAGTCGGGAGTGGGTTGAACCTCCATTCTTGCCACGGTTCCAGCTCCCTGGCTCCTGTGTGGAAGCGGTAGACAGACTCTGCAGGCTTGTGACCTGATGAATAATCATGTTGTCAACTCCTCGAACCACCCTGTTTATGCAAACTCAACAGTTTGTAGAGTATTTTCACAGCCTCATCACATGCATTCAGATGGCCTGCGTGTCAGGGCTGCTTTACTTAGGTAGCTTTGTCTAACATTTTATCAAATTGTTCAGAGCATCTGTGTTGGTTAAGGAGCCCCTGCTCTCAACCTCACACACACACACCCGTTACCGAGTCCAGTGTACCTCTCCAACCATTCAACTAAAGTTCAACGCTGTTTGGAGTGGGTGTTCGCACAGCAAGTGGCAGCCTCAGGACCCCTTCTCAAGTGTTTTCCATCAACAGAGAGATGATAGAAAGTCTTGCATTTGATCAAATTTCCCCAGAGTGAACATAAAACTTCATTTCAAGGCATCTGATCTTGTTTGCACTTTCTAGCTAAGACATCTGGCTGCTTTCTCATTCACATGTACTCAGATCAATTAATCAATCGACAGATAAGTACTGAGCACCCTGGGCCTGGAAGATGCTACTATAGGAGTTTATGTTAGGCAAGCAGGGGTGGGGGGAATAACAGTGATCACCAGCCCAGGTTGGATGCATGAGACAAGTGCTCGGGGCTGGTGCACTGGGAAGACTGATCTATTTCCATTTTTCTTAGAATTCTTTTTAATACAACAAAAAATGGAAATAGATCAGAATAATTTCATAGCTTTAAAAATATTGCTGCTCAGAAGAAACATGCACCCCAATGTTTGTCACAGCACTATTTCAATAGCCAGGATGTGTAAGCAACCTAAATATACACTGGCAGAGTAATTAATAAAGAAGATGTGGTACATATATACAATGGAATACTACTCAGCCATAAAAAGGAATGAAATTGTGCCATTTGCAGAGATGTAGATGCACCTAGAGAGTCATACAGAGTAAAGTAAGTCAGAAAGAGAAATATAAATATCGTATATTCATCCATATATGTGAAATCTAGAAAAACGGTAGAGATGAACTTATCTACAAAGCAGAAAGAGTCATGGACATAGAGGACAAGCACATGGACATCAAAGGAGGAAGGGGAGATGGGATGGACTGGGAGATTGGGACTGATATATATACACCACTCTGTGTATAATGGATAACTAACGAGAACTGACTGTATAGCACAGTGAACTCTGTTCTACGGTGACCTAAGATGGCAACCCACTCCAGTATTCTTGCCTGGAGAATCCGATGGACAGAGAAGCCTGGCAGGCTACAGTCCATGGGGTCGCGAGAGTCGGACATGACTTAGCATCTAAACCACCAGCTGGGAAAGAAATCCAAGGAAGAGGGGTATATGTGTGTGTGTGGCTGATTCACTTTGCTGTAGAGCAGAAATTAACACAACATAGTAAAGCGACTATACTCCAAACAAATCAAAACAAAACAAAAATACTGCAGCTCAAGGCATCATACAATAAGATGGCAGAGAAGGGGGTTCCTGGGTGGACAGTGAAAAAGACTTTTCCTTATAAAAATATTACTGATATCCTTGATAAAATTATCTAAAAACACCTATCAAGAATTCTTAGCCACACCTTTGGGGGCGGGTTGGCTTATGGGCCTGCCTCCCTTTGGCTTTTGGCCGAGAGAACCCTTTGCTCTTTGCTGAATGGCTGGTCACTCTGGGCAGGTGCTGCACCTCCACAGGAATGCCTGATCTCTCACCATCCTGAGCCTCAGTTTCCCAATCTGTCAGAGTAGGGATAGTAAGGCTGACTCTGAAAGTATCTTCCACTCCCTGCTCTCTACTTACATTTTCTCTTCTTCCTCTTCTTTCTCTCCTCTTCCTCTCAAAAAGAGAAAACATCCTTTCTTTGCTTCCTTACTTAGCACAATTCACCATACGAAAAGCACCCATCCATCCATTTGCTATGAAACATCTGGAAGCCCAGTGCTTGACACTATGGAGATTTCATGAGAAGTACGAGGTCAGCCTTGGCCTCCAAGCACTTACAGTCTCCCTGGGCAGAGAGGGCTGGAACATGAAACAATTAGAAGATATCAACGAAAGTGGAAACAATGACAGATTTTATTTTCTTGGGCTCCAAAATCACTTTGGACAGTGATTGAAGCCACAAAATTAAAAGACACTTCCTTCTTGGAAGAAAAGCAATGACAAACCTAGACAGTGTATTAAAAAGTAGAGACATCACTTTGCTGACAAAGATCTGTATAGTTAAAGCTATGGTTTTCCAGTAGTCATGTACCGATGTGTGAGTTGGACCATAAAGATGGCTGAGAGCCGAAGAATTGATACCTTCAAAAGTGGTGCTGGAGAAGGCGAGGGTGGGATGTTTCGAGAGAACAGTATCGAAACATGTATATTATCAAGGGTGAAACAGATCACCAGCCCAGGTTGGATGCATGAGACAAGTGCTCGGGGCTGGTGCACTGGGAAGACCCAGAGGGATTGGGTGGAGAGGGAGGTGGGAGGGGGGACCGGGATGGGGGATACATGTAAATCCATGGCTGATTCATGTCAATGTATGGCAAAAGCCACTACAATATTGTAAAGTAATTAGCCTCCAACTAAAAAAATAAATGGGGGAAGAAAAAGTGGTGCTGGAGCAGACTTTTGAGAGTCCCTTGGACAGCAAGAAGATCAAACAAGTTAATCCTAAAGGATATCAACCCTGAATATTCATTGGAAGGACTGATTCTGAAACTGAAGCTCCAATACTTTGGCCACCTGATGTGAAGAGATGACTCATTGGAAAAGACCCTGATGCTGGGAAAGATTGAGGGCAGGAGGAGAAGGGGGCAACAGAGGTTTAGATGGCTGGATGTCATCAGTGACTCAATGGACATGAGTTTGAACAAGTTCTAGGAGACAGTGAAGGATACAGAAGACTGGCATGCTGCAGTCCATGGGGTCACAAAGAGTTGGACATGACTTAGCGACTGAACAATAACAAGTGAATGGAGGACCAGTGGGTCAACCACTGGTCACTGCCTTGGGTGATCAGAGCTGGGAGGCACTGCAGGGCTGGGGTAAGCGGTGGGCTCTAGGGGGAAGGTCAGGCTGGGGCTGGGTCCCCAGTGACAATGTGGTGGGCCTTGGTCTGGAGCCGGAAGGCTTGAGCTTCAGTCTCCCTGGGAAGACTGTATGAATGTTGGCAAGCAACCCCCGCCCTGGAAGTCAGAGTCCTACTACCCATGCCTGAGTTGCAGGGTGTGTGGGGGGCTTAAAGGAAAGATGCACCTGGAATGCCTGTACGAATGCTAGTTCTCAGCTGCTCACCAGCTGTGTGACCTCAGGTCGGCTCCTGGAACATTTCAAGCCTCAGTTTACTCAACTGCTAAAGGGGGATATTGGTGATGCCATCTCATGAGGCTGTTGAAAGGCTGAGCAATGAGAGTTTGGTGAACAATGGCTGGTCCCTTTAGCCTCGTTAATAACAGGGCTGGCTGGGCAAAGGAACCGCTTCCAGGTGGCACAGCTGTGGGGCCCTGCCTGGGAAGCCATGTGGCCCCCAAGCTGTGTAAACAGCCTGAGGCTTCCTAGGCTTTGGCAGCTGCAATTTCTCTGGGTCCTGTGGCTCCAGGGAGGCCCTTGCTGAGACAGAGCACGTCCTCAGGAGGCTGCGGCTTAGGAGGGCTTGGGTGGGGCCCTGTACCCCCATGGGTGGGAAAGGCAAACACCCAAGGAGGTGCAACCAGGCTTCTAGCTCAGCTGCGTCCTTTGCACTGGAGCATGGATTTCCAGACAGGAGAGGCTGAGGCAGCCAATGGGATCCTGGGGTTGTGCCGGGCGGGTGCTGGTCACACCAGGCCCCTGGGTGTGGGAAGGGCACAGTGACTCATGGGAGCTCTACACCTGAGGGCCCCAAACACACACACCTGGCCCATGGGATGGTGGCCTGTGTCCTCAGAACCTGTCCATACTCCTCCATGACATGAGCTTAGCATCACTGGTCTGAGGACAAGACTCCACCCACGTGGCGACTGGCAGTCATAGCAGCTGCTGTCACTGAGAACCTACCATGCCCAGGGATTGTTAATTAGTTCTTTAAGCTCACATAGTCCTGACAGTAGTCCTAGGAAGTGGGTATATTATCCTCCTCCCATTTCACAGGGAAGGAGACGGAGAGGTGGAGAGACGTGAAGGCAAGTGGTTGGGGACGTGGTGGGGCTGGGATCTGAACCCACAGGATTTACAGGTAAACTCAATGCTGTGCTGCTTCTCCTGGGACGACAGAGGCTGCTGACCATCTCTATGTGAAGGCCATCCCACTCTGTCCTTTCCATTCTGCATGAGCCCGACCACGTCCAAGAGCTGGTTCTAGAGCGGAGGTGCAGGTGGGCAGTGTAGTGGAGAGGGCTCAGCTGGATTTGGATTGGCAGCTTGGCTTTGTAGCTGGAGGCCCTTGGGGGAGCTCTAATTAACTCTGGGTATTGGTTTTTACAGCTTTGAGATGGAGATGATACACCGGGGCTCACAAGGCAATGTGAGGACTAACGCAGCACTTGGCTGATGGTCACTTTCCTGGTGGGAAGAATTATTTGTCCTTCAAAGAGTGACTGGGCTTTTCAGGTGGCTCAGTGGTAAAGAATCCACCTGGCAATACAGGAGATGCAGGTTTGATCTCTGGGTAGGGAAGATCCCCTGGAGAGGGTAACGGCAATCCACTCTAGTGTTCTTGCCTGGGAAATCCCTGTGGACAGAGGAGCCTGGAGGGCTACAGAAGGTGGGGCTGCAAAAAGAGTTGACTGAGTGACTAAACAATAACAAGAAGAGTAAGCAGGAACCAAGACTGCAGGGCAACCCAGAGGGCAAGTCTTACAGAGCTCTTTCTAATACTCCCAAACTGATTCAGTTCCTGGTCCCACTTATGGGTCTCTCTTGCTTGCAGATCGGATCTGCTGAAAAGTAATCCACTCTTGTCAAGCTCTCAGCATCAGTCCAGACAACTATGAAATGAAGTGAAGTGAAGTGAAGTGAAAGTTGCTCAGTCGTGTCCAACTCTTTGCGACCCCATGGACTATAGAGTCCAAGGAATTCTCCAGGCCAGAATACTGGAGTGGGGAGCCTATCCCTTCTCCAGCGGATCTTCCCGACCCAGGAATTGAACCAGGTCTCCTGCATCACAGGTGGATTCTTTAAAACTGAGCTATCAGGGAAGCAGACAACTATAGCAGAGATAAAACCAATATCAATATAAATTTTTATCAATTTTGATAAAACCAAAAATCAATCTCTATGTGCTTCTGAGGAGGTTGTGAACAAGACCACTCCCCTGTCCCCAGGCAACCAGAAGAAAAGTCTTCTCCATTGTTCACTCAGGGCCTGGAAAGGCATACCTTCCTACACATGGGAGGTGTCACCATGGGCAGGTGCTCAGGTAGCTGACTTTTAGTGGTTTTGGCTAGCGCTGAGGCTACACAACCGGAGGAGATTTCTTAACAAGAAAGGGAGCAAGAATGTGTCTCTTGAGGCTCTGCTGTATCTGGGGTGACTAACTGTCCCATTTTCCCCAGGATTAAGGGGTTCCTGGGACATGGGACTTTATCATAGAAAACAGAACAATCCTGGAGAAACTGAGGGAGTTGGTCACTAGAGCCATATTTCCCAGCCCATTCTAGAGCCTTCTGTGTCTCCCTAGGGGCTAGGCCCCCGTCTTTCTGCAACCATCAGGCTTGCTCGTCCGTCTCCCAGGAGCCAGCCTGAGGCCTCCTCTATGCCCTAGAGCTCATCAAAGGAGCCGCTGCTGGAGAAAGTTGAGATGGCGGCTGGATTCCCACACCTCTGGATGCTGATGACAGGCTCCTTTGAAGAAGAGATGAAGACTTGGTCTTCCGGGGGACACGGGGAGCTGGAGATGAGTCTTGATGTAGCCCCCGGTCCAACGGGGCTCTTTTTTTTTTTACGAGGCCGGGAAATGTTCACGGGAAGCTAAACAGGTTAATGAGGGGTTCTGATGGAAAGTGGTATTAACTTTAACAAGGAGAAAACACTTTGTAAAGAACAACGCCCACTGGGGTGGAGATATAAACCCGGGGATAAGGAGCTGCTTCTCTGTATCAGGGGGTTTCCGGGCTCGAAGCTCCATCACGTGTGCTGTCCAAGTCATGGCTTCCAAATGCCTCAAGGCCAGCTTCTCGTCGGGGTCTCTCAAGGTCCCCGGAGGGGCCGGCGGGGGCTTGGCTCGCGTGTCCACAGTGTTCTCCAGCAGCTCTTGCAAGCTCCCTGGCTTCTCCCGGGGGCCCCAGAGTTTCTCTGCCTGTTCAGTCGGGCTGGGCAAGAGCAGCTGCAGGGCCGCCAGCTGCCTCCCTGCTCTCTGCCTCCCCTCTGGAGGCTTTGCTACCAGCTACAGCCTGGCCGGGGGCTGGTTCGGCGAGGGCATTCTTACCGGCAATGAGAAGGAGACCATGCAGTTCCTGAACGACCGGCTGGCCAGCTACCTGGAGAAGGTGCGGCAGCTGGAGCGGGAGAACGCGGAGCTGGAGAGCCGCATCCGTGAGTGGTGTGAGCGGCAGGTGCCCTATCTGTGCCCCGACTACCAGTCCTACTTCCAGACCATTGAGGAGCTCCAGAAGAAGGTGAGTGGGTCTGAGACGGGGCCTGGGGTCGCCAGCACTAGCCTGGTAACACTTCAGAGGTCACAAAGCTTGGTCGCATCTGCGGCCTCCTTGGCTCCTCCCAAGGAGGTATCATTTGGCCATTTTACAGATGAGAACACTGAGGCTCAGGCTGGTTAACTGACTTACTCAAGGTGATCCAGGGGGTGGTTAGTGGGGTCAGAGCCTGAGTACAAACTCTACGAACTAACTGGTTGTGAGACCTTTAATGTAATACCACAAGCCACCTCTATGGATTTGAATTTATTTTTTTCTTCCTTTTCTAAGGGGAGGGGATTGGGTTTGAAGTGTTTGGTGCAGACCTGGTTTCCTATACCTAACTCTGGGAGAGCCTGTCAGAAGTTTCCTTCTTGTCCAGCCCGCATCCCCAGAAAGTCCTAGTCAACTCTTGAAAGGGAGCATTTGTGTCCAGGGAATCATAGAGTATGTTCTTGCTAATGACCTGCTGAGAGTGCCCTCCAGTCCCGGGAGATAGGAAGACAGGAAGAAGCCACCACGTCAGGTCTTCCCTGCAGCATTTCCCTGTCTCTAACTCAGGTTACAGGTCTGAGATGCCCTGTGTTGCTAGGGTTTCCCACTCTGATCCCTACAGCATGCCCATAAGCTTCATGGAGCCTCAGCTGCCAAGAGCCCAGGGATGGGGTGACCCTCTCCCTCCAAAGGCAATCCATGCCAGCTTAACTGGGCAGCAGAACGGGGAACTCCTGCCAGCAGAGTGCCTTTTCTTTCCCTGAAGTCACTTCTTTATTTCCCCAGACCCTGTGTACCAAGTCTGAGAACGCCAGGCTGGTGGTGCAGATTGACAATGCCAAGCTGGCTGCAGATGACTTCAGGACAAAGTGAGTTGTCCTGCTCACCTTTTGGTTGGGGCTGGTACAGCTGGACGTGGGTGGTGTTCAGACTCAGGGTTTGGGTTACCCTGAATCACTGAGGCATAAGGTAGGAAACACAGCGCCAGGCCAGTCTGGGGTGGGATCTGACATAAATATAGCAAGAAAAAACAGCTTCAGGTGCCCTGCTATGTGCCTGCCAGGTATGAGACCGAGGTATCCATGCGGCAGCTGGTAGAGTCGGACATGAATGGCCTGCGTAGGATCCTGGATGATCTGACCTTGTGCAAGGCCGACCTGGAAGCCCAGGTGGAGTCCCTGAAGGAGGAGCTGCTCTGCCTCAAGAAGAACCATGAAGAGGTGAGCATGGGGAGCCAGGGTAGGCCTGGGGAATAGGTGAAGCTGGGGAGAAGGTGATGCTGGGGGAGAAGGTGAGGCTGGGGGACAGGTAAGCATGGAGAATGGAAGAGCATGGGGGGCTGGTGAGCATGAGGAACAGGTGAAACTGGAAGAGAAGGTGAGGTTGGGGGGTAGGTGAGCACGGGGAGCAAGTGAACATGGGGAGCAGGTAGGCATGGGGGGAGGCATCCATCTGGGAAAGTTAGTGCTGACCCTGGTCTGTGCCACAGGAAGTGAACTCACTGCGCTGCCAGCTTGGTGATCGACTCAACGTCGAGGTGGACGCTGCCCCGCCTGTTGACCTGAACCGTGTTCTGAATGAGATGAGGTGCCAGTATGAGACCCTGGTGGAAAATAACCGCCGGGAGGCTGAGGACTGGTTCAACACCCAGGTGGGTACCTGGAAACCGTCAGTGCAGTAGAGACACATGGTAGGTCACAGAAGTGACCTTGAGGCTCTGAATCAAAAACCTGAGCTTGAGTCCCCGCCCTGTTTCAATCTGATTCTGCACCTTGGGCACATTGCTGTCCTAAAGGCGACAGTGATCTCAAGGGTGAGATGAATGGGGTGGACTGGGTGATCTGGGCAGTCCTTCTTGGCTCATGATTCTAAGTGGCTTCTGTCGACTTCTGAAGCGGAGTCCCCAGTATTTCTGACTGGGTCCCATGTGTGTGTGTTTCAGACTGAGGAACTGAACCAGCAGGTGGTGTCCAGCTCGGAGCAGCTGCAGTCCTACCAGGCAGAGATCATTGAGCTGAGACGTACGGTCAATGCCCTGGAGATTGAGCTGCAGGCCCAGCACAGCATGGTGAGCCTGAGGCTGGCTGGGGGCTGTGGCTGGACCTAGCCTTGCAGTGCAGGGGCCTGCCCACCCCAACCTCCATGCTCTGACCACATGGGCAGGTTCCAGAGGGTCAAGTTATTGAATGTCAGGGATTTTCTGTGCAGGGAAGAGGAACTAGGGCCCAACTCCCTCCAAGGTCCCAGGGGTAAAAGACAGGGAACCAGTAGCACCCGGCCTGTCCTGGCAGCATCTCCTGTATTTGTGAGAACAGATTCATTCTGAGTAATTATCAGTGACTCAGAGATATCATTAACAGGGGAGCTCCTCTCTAGATCAGGAAGCTAAGGGGCTAACTAACTCATCTCAGATGAGATATCTGATTGTGGCTCATCCAGGCTTGAAGTGATTCTTCCTTCCTACACAATCCTTACCCTCACAGAGAGATGCTTTGGAATCCACCCTGGCAGAGACGGAGGCCCGCTACAGCTCCCAGCTGGCCCAGATGCAGGGCCTGATCGGCAACGTGGAGTCACAGCTGGCGGAGATCCGCTGTGACCTGGAGCGGCAGAACCAGGAGTACCAGGTGCTGCTGGATGTCCGGGCCCGGCTGGAGTGTGAGATCAACACGTACCGGGGGCTGCTGGAGAGTGAGGACTGCAAGTGAGTACCCTGCATGCTCTCTCATCTAGGGAGCCCTGGAGAGACAGCGCGGTGGCCTGGGAAGAGCCGGGCATTTGAATTCAGTGGCCCTGGGTTTTGGTTTAGGTCTTGTTATATAGTCACCATGTGACCTTGGCAATGTCCTTTTCTTTCTGGGCCTCTGTTTCCTCATTGGTAAAATGAGGGGGCAGGATTAGAAGACTATTTTTCTTCTTCATCCATTAACTTAAAAAAATTATTAAATTAATTCTTGAATGTAATTTATTATTCTTATGTATTTCATCTTCATTAAATCAATATTTAGAGTTTTCATCATTATGACATCATTGTATTTTTCATAGCTGAACTACATGATGCATTATAATTACTTCCTTCTTTGACAAGTGTGATTGAATGCAAGTTCAAGGCAAAACATCAGTCAGGAGCAGAGAAAGGTTAATTGCAGGGCCCAGAAAGGAGAACAGGTGGCTCATGTGCAAAATCCCTGAGCCCCAGGACTGAAGGGATTTTTAAGGGGCTCTGGGTTATTGAGAAATAGCAATTGGAAAATCATACTTTCTTTTTTTCTCTTAGGCTCCCTTGTAACCCGTGTGCACCGGACCACCCGACCTCTAAGTCTTGCCTCCCCTGTCTTCCTGCGGCCTCCTGTGGGCCTGGCACAGCCCGAACCACCTGTAGCCCCCGCCCCATCTGTGTGCCTTGCCCAGGAAGCCGGTTCTGAGAGTGACTAGTCCAGAAAGCCAAGGCCACTGTATCCAGGGCTTGGACTTGGCCTCAATTCAACCATAATCCTAAAGCCCAATCCCCTGTAACTTTGTGCCTAGCCCAGGCTCAGACAATTACACACTTTATCTTTCTCAAAGCCTGCTACTAAGGTCAGAGGCCTTAGTGGCAATAAGACCTCAAAGGCCTCAGCTCCTCATTACTTTGATGGGGGCCAGAGCTTCTGTTCTCCGGCTGCTTCCTAGGTCAGGTTTTCCTATCGGGCGCTGTTTCAGTGGTGTCTGAAATGCAGCACAGGGCTTCTGTTGTACGAACAATAAAGCACATTTGCTCTGGTTCTCAATGCCTAACCAGCTCTGTTCTGATATTGTTGGTTTGGGTCTCTGCTGGGTGAAGAGGGGTGACTCTTAGGCAGATGAATGGGGAGGTGGGCCATGTATTACCCTGGGGATGACAGAGTCCTTATGTCCCTCTTTGGGGTGGTTAGGGGTCTACAGTGGGATGTTTAACCCAGCTTTCCTGTTTAAGACCCTTCTCCAAGGGCTTCTCTGGTAGCTCAGTCAGCAAAGAGTCTGCCTGCAGTGCAGGAGACCCAGGTTTGATCCCTGAGTCAGGAAAATCCCCTGGAGAAAGAAATGGCAAACCAATCCAGTGTTCTTGCCTGGAAAATCCCATGGATAGAGGTCCTGGTGGGCTGCAGTCCATGGGATCCTGAAGAGTCAGGCACAACTGCATGACTAATACTTTCTTTCCAAGGTTCTACTGTGGTGACATGTGTTACAAGCCCCTCCTACCCCTTAGTATACATGGTCGACTTGGAGTTCTAGGGGAAGATGGTTAACACTGAGATCAGTATAATGTGAAGCATTTTAGGCCACTTCATTAGCCTCATGCCTGTGGTTCTTATAAGAGCAGCAGTATGGAATCTCACACCTGGGGGACTCCATTAAAGTCCCATGCTTTTAGAAATGTGCTATCTTCAATCCTTCACACAACCCTTCCAATTCAGTACCTCTCTTAAAACCCCACAGCCTTGGGACTTCCCTGGTGGTCCAGTGGCTAAGATTCTGTTCTTCCAATGCAGGGAGTCTGGGTTCGCTCCCTGGTCAGGGATCTAGATTCCACATTCCGCATGCTGTAACAAAGATCAGAGATCCTGAGTGCCACAACTAACATCCGGTATAGCCAAATAAATAAATAAACAAAAAACCAAACCAAACCCCACAGCTCATCCAAAGCAGGAGATGGGGGAGTGAGCCTGCCATTGTGACTTCCTCCCACAGTTCAGAGTCTTGTTCCTTAGAGACTCATCATGTTCTGGAGTTCTCTTGACCTCTGATGAGGTACATGGTACCTTTGGGTTCCAAGGCATTTCCACATGGAAGTGGGGGCTCTCAGTCTCTTGGACCAAAGACTCATTTGTGCCCAGAATGTCTTTCTTCAGCAGACCAGGCAAATTGCAAGCTCTGCCAATCCCAGTTGGAAATGGAGAAGGATGAAGGCTAAACTCTTTGAGACAGAAAGGAAGAAAAGTTGTCCCCAGATAGCCACATGCTCTTCATAAGATGTGAAGAGCACCACTAAGGAACTCAGTGATGTCAAGAGACATCAGTTGTGACAGTGCCAGAGGTGGAGAACAATTCGATGAAGGATCTGACTGAGGTGATCCTGAGACTCCCACAGCCTTTAAGAGTACCCAGTAGAGTCCACCTAATGCTGTGTGTATGTGCTAAGTCGCTGCAGCCTTGTCTGACTCTTCGACCCAATGGATTGTAGCCTGCCATGCTCCTCTGTCCATGGGATTCTCCAGGCAAGAATACTGGAGTGGGTTGCCATGTGCTCCTCCAGGGGATCTTCCCAACCCAGGGATTGAACCCACATCTCTTATGTCTTCTGCATTGGCAGGTGGGTTCTTTAGCACCACCTGGGAATCCCCAAACATAGTACCAGCAGGGACATTTCTGAAGTGAGCATTTTCAACATCTATGTGCTTCCCAAACTGGATGTGTAATTACACTACCTTGTGAGTTGTGCCATTCACACCAGGTAGTCAGGAATCATTTCTTGTGAAACCTGGAAGGACCAAACACTTCCGCTCCCATTTAGACCTGTGGAGCTAAGCTAAGCCTTTAAAGACTGAAGAAATACTGTTCTCTGAAAAAACAATAAAATGGAAATTATACTTAACAAAGTTAGAGATATTTATGTTCCTATCACTCAGTGGTTCTCAAAACCACCTGGAGGATTGTTAGACATGGATGACTGGATCCCATTCTCAGAATTTCCAATTAAGCTGGTCTGGAAGGGACCTGAGAAACTGCGTCATTAACCTGTTCCTGAGTGAGGCTGATGCTGCTAGTCTGGAGGTCACCCTTTGAGAACCATCATTACACATTATTACAATAATGAATACAGGTGGACCTCATTTTCTTTCTTTTCTCTCCTATTTTTTTTTTTTTAAGACTTTTTGATGTGGACCATTTTTAAAGACTTTACTGAATTTGTTACACCATTGCTTCTATTTTATATTTTGATTTTTTAGCCTTGAGGCGTGTGGGATTTCAGCTCTCTGACCAGGGATTGAACCTGCACCCCATGCATTGGAAGCAAAGTCTTAACCACTGGACTACCAGGGAAGTCCCTGACCTCATTTTCTTGTGTTTGGCTTCATTGTGCTTCACAGATACTGTTTTTTTTTTTTAAACAAATTGAAGGTTTGTGGCAACCCTGCATCTGGCTAGTTTATCAGTGCCATTTTTCCAATAGCATCTGCTCACTGCGCATTTCTGTGTCACATTTTCGTAATTCTCACAAACGTTTTCAGGATTTTTATATTTATGATGGTGATGTGTGGTCAGTGATTTTTGATGTTACCATTATGACTCTTTGGAGTCTCAGATGACAGCACTTTTTAACGAGAAAGTATTTCTTACTTAAGGTATATACAATTGTAAAAATTATATATACAATTGATACTTAATAGACTACAGTATGGTGTAAACATAATGTTTCCATGCACTAGAAAACCTAAGGGCTTCCCTGGTGGCTCAGCAGTTAAGAATTGGCCTGAGCTTCCCTGGTAACTCAGTGGTAAAGAATCCACCTGCAATGCAAGAGACGGGGTTCAATCCCTGCGTTGGGAAGATTCCCATGGAGAAACAAATGGAAATCCACTCCAGTATTCTTTCCTGGGAAATCCCATGGACAAGGAAGCCTGGTAGAGTTGGACACAACTTGGTGGCTAAACAATAGCAGAAAACCTAAAAATTCATGTGACTTGCTTTATTGCGATATTGACTTGATTGCTGAGGTCTAGAACTAAACCTGCAATATCTTCAGGATACAACTATATCTTATATTTTGGGAATGAGGATTTTTTAAAAGATTTTTTTGATGTGGACTGTTTTTAAAGTCATTATTGAATTTATTACAATATTGCTTCTGTTTTATGTTAATGTTTTTTAAAAACTATATTTACAGTTTTTGGTTTTTTGGCTGCAAGGCATGTGGGATTTTAGCTCCCTGACCAGGGATTGAACCAGAATTGACCAGGGATGTGTCTGCATTGGAAGGTGAACTATTAACCAGTGGACCACCACGGAAGTCCTGGGGGTGAGGATTAAATGGAAAATTTAATGCCAAACATCCAGCACAGTACCTGGTACTTGCACATATTACATAAGCATTGGTGATGATTTTGAAGGCTTGTCTGATGTGTCTCATTCCATGTAGTTGGTATTTATATCACCTTTACTTCTGTCTTCTTGAAATAGAATTTCTGGTTGCTGCAAAAAAATCAAACTGAGGGATGATTTAATCTAATCCTTTCAATTTGCTGAAGGGAACTGAAGCCCAGAGAGGTAGAGTGACTTTCCCAAGGTCACACAGTGAGTTAGATCTCTATCTTGACTTTTCTTAAGCAGCACATTTCAGGGAATAGGGCTGGGTGGCATTTTCCCTCTCCTGCCCCTCCACCAAATCTTCTAGAAATACATGAAAAATAAGACAAATACTTATACTTTAATATTATATTGAGAAGGTGCATGAATAAGAAGTGACTACATAGCACACACATATTAAACACAAAGTGTGTGAGTTCAGGAGTTTTGCACTCAGGCCTAAAAACCACTGGTCTCTCCTTAGCTTGCTTTCTTGGGAAGTGCTCAAGGACTTCTAGAATCAGAGACACCTGCTCCTGGTCTCCTGGCTTCACTCATCCTAGCGCTGAAGTGTCACATCTTGAAAGAGCTGATTCACTCTGCCTCTGGTCTCTGAGG